AAACAGCGTGTGTCAGTAGGCAAACTGAGATGGGTCTTTCCTTTACCCAGTTTTACCTTTCTGGCAATGGTCGCTGGAAATTAATTAGTAAAGGTAACTTCAGCTGATTTTTCTCCTCCCTGTTCCAAGAATGCTGATGCCAGTCATCACTCCCACTATCTTAGAATATTTCTAGAACCGTTCCTATGACCTTCTTGGTATCTCAATAACAGAGCTCATTGATTCAGTGTTTATTGATAAATTCTAGTACTGGATATTTGATTCACAGTCTTGAATATCGCTTTATTTCTTGCAGATGATGAAAATGTTGCTGACACTGGCATGGAACAGAAGTAGAAAAAACTTTGTGACTGCAGTTTATGGGAGCCATACAATTTAATGTCAGAAATTGATGAAGTGGTCTTTATTAAAGAATGACAAGTCTACTCCTAAGAAAACATTGTTGCTGCCAATCACTCTGGAATTCTGATCTTTACTGTTTAGATTTCCCAGCTTATCAGCCAGAGTTGATTTATTCACAGATATGTTGAATGAGGCAAGTCATTGAAAGGAATTATGTAATCTATTTGCTGTTCATTGCATTGAAACTTGCTTTTATCAAGGACTATGGTATCTTGGTTAAATGGAAAACAATTACATTTAAAAAAAAACTAATGTTCTTCCTGCCAATTCTGGAAAAGAAATCAACATTGATACAGCCTTATGAGAAAAGACCATAAGACATAGGAGCAGAAATTAGGCTGCTCCGCCATTCAATCATGGCTGATAAGTTCCTCAACCCCATTCTCCCGCTTTCTCCCCGTAACCCTTGATAATCAAGAACCTATCTATCTCAGTCTTAACTGTACTCAATGACCTGGCCTCCACAACCTTCTGTGGCAGTGAATTCCATAGATTCACAACTCTCTGGCTGAAGTAGTTTCTCCTTATCTACGTTCTAAAAGTTCTTCCCTTTACTCTAAGGCTGTGCCCTCGGGTCCTAGACTCTCCGACCAACGGAAGCATTTTCCCAACATCCACTTTATCCAGGCCATTCAGTATTCTGAAAGTTTCAATTAGATCCCCCCTCATCCTTCTAAACTCCAATGAGTATAGTCCCAGAGTCCTCAAATGTTCCTTATATGTTAAGCTTTCCATTCCTGGGGCCATTCTCGTGAACCTTCTCTGAACCCACTCCAGGGCCAGTACATCCTTCCTGAGACATGGGGCCCAAAACTGCACGCAATACTCCAAATGTGGCCTGACCAGGGCCTTATAAAGCCTCAGTCGTATATCCCTGTTTTATATTCAAGTCCTCTCAAAATAAATACCAACATTGCATTTGCCTTCCTGACTACTGACTCAACCTGCAAGTTTACCTTGAGAGAATCCTGGACTAGAACTCCCAAGTCTCTTTGCACTTCAGACTTCTTAAGCCAATTTTGGCAGATTGACTAGAAAATATCTACTCAGCTGATGTATCTCTATTAGCACCAAATACTGCTAAATGTATGAGCTGTGTTTGAGCATAGGGAGCCCTGCTACACCTTCAGGAAGCTGCAGAAAGGATGTCAGATCTTGAAGAGTGTGCAGAGGAGATTTATTGGAAAGGTACCAGGGATAATGAACTTCAGATTTGACAGGGAACTAGAGAAGTTAAGGTTCTTCTCCTACAGCAAATAAAATTATGGAGTGATTTACTAGAGGTGTTGAGTGGTAGAGTAAATAAATAAAAACTGTTTTCATTGATAATGGCAGTAATTAGAGAACACATATTTGAGATAATTGGTGAGAATCAGAGCAGAGATGGCCAAAATTATTTTATGGAACAAATTATGTTCTGTATGCTCTCCTGCCCGAAGAAAGACAGAAGCAAATTGAATTGTAACCTTTAAAAGGGAATTGGACATGTTTTTGAAAAGGAAAATTTTACTGAGCAATTCGGAAAGAGAATTGAAGCAGAACTGAATGGCTAACTGTTTTAAAGTATTGGCACAGGCATGATTTGCTACAAGGCCTCATTTGTGTTATGTTGTTCCATTAATCCCAAAACACTCCATTATAAAAGAAAGGAAAATAAATAGAACAGCTTTTATAAAGCACCCAAAATATACCCCTTGTGTAGTACTTACACCAGAACCCCAACTCTAAAACCTCGATTGAATTAAGTCTCTTGTGACTTTAACTTACAGACTGGAACTGCAGACACCTTCTTCCTTGAGCTATCATATACCTTAGCCTAGATATGTCTAACTTTAAGGAATCTCTTCAAGGTTTTATCCCAACAATTCTGATCACACTATCACTAATTCTTTACTCTATCATAATCTAGTTTTACAATATCCTTCCTTTCTCAGGAACACTGGTCTAACTTCATTGAAGGATTTGACAGCACTGCTCGAATTCAATGTGAAACTAAGAAAAATCTCTCTTTCCCATCTCAGTGGGAAGCATATCAATTCTACTCACCCAGCACATGCTTGAAAGTCTCAGAAAATTATGTCCACCATTAGATGCGCTTCTGCTATTGGAAATCATGTATTAAATAATCTGGACTCTGCTAAGAATAACATAGAAACATAGAAGATGGGAGCAGGAGGAGGCCATTTGGCCCTTTGAGCCTGCTCCACCATTCTTCATGATCATAGCTGATCGTCCAACTCAATAGCCCAATCCTGCTTTCTCCCCATAACCTTTGATCCCATTCGCCCCAAGTGCTATGTCTAGTCACCTCTTGAATACAATCAATATTTTGGCATCAACTACTTCCTGTGGTAATGAATTCCACAGGCTCACCACTCTTTGGGTGAAGAAATGTCTCCTCATCTCCATCCTAAATCGTCTACCCTGAATCTTCATACTGTGACCCCTGGTCCTGGACTCACCCACCATCGGGAATATCCTCCCTGCATCTACACTATCCAGTCCTGTTAGAATTTTTTAACTCTGTATGAGATCCCCCCTCATTCGTCTGAACTCTAGTGAAAACAATCCCGGCCTAGTCAATCTCTCCTCATACATCAGGCTTTCCATCCGCAGAATCAGCCTGGTAAACCTTCACTGCACTCCCTCGAGAGCAAGAGCATCCTTCCTCAGAAAAGGAGATCGAAACTGCACACAATATTCCAGGTGCAGTCTCACCAAGGCCCTGTACAACTGCAACAACACATCCCTGTCCCTGTACTCGAAACCTCTCACAATGAAGGCCAACATACCATTTTCCTTCTTTACCGCCTGCTGCACCTGCATGCTTACCTTCAGTGACTGGTGCACAGGGACGCGCAGGTCCCGCTGCACACTCCCCTCTCCCAATTTACAGCTATTCAGGTAGTGATCTACCTTCTTGTTTTTGCTTCCGAAGCAAATAACCTCACAGTTATCCAAATTATACTACATCTGCCGTTGATTTGCCTACTCACCCAACCTGTCAAGATCATGCTGTGCAGGCTATTAAATTTTATTACTTTATTTTTCTATACATACATTAATAATAGGTGAGACATTAGTTTTTCTGGACAGCTTTTTGCTTTCTGGAATAGAAATAAAATAGTGTTTCACACGAACTAAAAGCAGCATAAGAAGATCAGAGAGCATTCCAAGGGCTTCAAGACAATTGACTCAACTCTGGTCAGCTGAGTATTTAGTTACCTCATTGGTAGTACTGGTTTCTGTAGATATTAAGATTTTTGAACATGAAAGTGCTTAGTTTTGCTGTAGGCTGGTTAATGTCCTCTTTTAAAAAGAGAGACAATTTGTCAACACATAACGTACAGCACTTAACTCATTCTCCTTAAATAATGTAATGTTGTTAGTATCATTGATATGATTAGTAAGTCAACTGAATACTTTTTTGTGTTGTTTAAATTTGGGCCCATTGACAGTGAATCCAAGTCTGATGAAAACAGATCAATAATCACTTATATTCACTTTCAGCACATAATCACATTGACAGAAGACTTTAGATTGATGTCATTTATTCTAAGGCATGGAGACCTGTTTGTAGATTTTCTACTGCTATGTCTGTTTTTTAAGTTCAGACAGGTCAGATTGGTGTCTCAATTTTTTTTTGAAAATTAAAATAAAGTCTACAAAGAAATTGATTTTTTTTTTAATTTTTAGAACACAAAGCCCATTTCAACCACAGGGATTTGTTGCTTCCAACTATAAGTATAAGCGCAATGACACTTGATAAGAATAGTCTAACATGCATTGTTTAGTTAGATGCATGATCTCCTTCACAATGACTGTGCAGACAATTTAATGTTTTTTTTAACTTGTTTCCACACTAGCCACCTTATCAACAAATATGACATTTCTCCTCCCATTTGTCCACAACCTTAATTCTAAGCTGATGACCAATATCTGGTCATTCTTTGTAATACTAAAGACACCAAAGATGTTCCTCAGGCTTGGGCAAGATTTGTATCTGCTGCCTTAATTCAGGTCCAGATTTCTCGATCTAATGCCATGAAGTATTAATCATAGGATTGCTGACAACGTATTGGAGACTATGGCTTTCAACAGACAACCAAGTGGAGGGAAAGGAGACACCTACATTGCCTCTCCATCTTCTGAGAGTTTTTGAGCCTTTCTACCACCAGCCCTGTCCGACTAATACCTTTTTCTTCAGGTGACATGTGCATTGGGGTTCGGGGAGGTAGTTGTGGAGCAGAGAACAGCTTCAGACAGGATTCACTAACATGAAGTACTTGGATAAAGGATGACCAGCTGCACTCCTGATGAAGGGAGGAAAATTTATGTTCAGGTTGGAAGCTTCAACATCATTTTTCTTTCCCTGCTTGATTTTGGGCAGGATAGCAGTACAAAACCAAGACTCAAGCATCAAAAGGCACCATGGCTGAGCCTAAACCTGCCTAGCTGTATGTTTATTTCATTGGCTGGGAACAGACTGATCGGAATCTCTGTCTCAACCTCTATTTGTTTTTAAAAAATGACAAAATACACCTCTGAAATTCATTGTATCATCACATTGGTGTTTGATTTCTTTGTGTTTTAGATGGCATGGGTCGAGTCTTAGCGCAGGATGTGTTTGCAAAAGACAACTTGCCGCCTTTTCCAGCATCAGTGAAGGATGGATATGCTGTGCGAGGTAAATAGGTTAATACATTCCTTGGTTTTCCAGCTTTTGAAGTTCCAATCTGAACAGTTTTAGTTGTATCTGTCCTATATTTTAACTCTTTACAGCTGCTGATGGACCTGGTGATAGATTCATTATTGGTGAATCACAGGCAGGCGAACAGGTGAGTATTGATGCTCAGAAGGGCATCTGACCTTGTTGCTAAACCCAGAGTCCAACACTTCCCACCCTCATAACCTCTACCCCCGAAAGCCCTCCCATCATCCCTTACCTCTGACCTATGTCATTACATGATTGTCAATGTCCAGTGTGTGTTACTTGAGCAACAGCCACTGAGCAAAAGCATAGCCAGACTCTGAAATGCTCTCCTCAGGTGGGACTTCCTGTCAGCAGGTCTTGATCCCACAGAAGACCAATTCTCTGATTAGCATCTAATAATAGTGGACATTCTTACAGAAGGCAACATGGCTCGTCTCCAGCTGTCAACTGTAACTCCCGTTGCCTTCATAAAACTGCCCCATGTATATTTGTTGAACATCACACTTCTCCATGGTGATGAAAAATATCCTCTGTGCATTTTAATTTTTTTCAGTTTTGTTTATAATGTTTCAGATTCTATGTTAATCCCATGGGTATGTCCCAATCATTTACTTCACTGTCTCTAACAGATAAAATTAGAAGTAAAGTAAAAGTGGTTTTACTTATGGTTTGCTGTCGATGAGAATACTTCAGTGTGATTGGTTGCTTATCCTACTGATCCTCTTGGTGCCCCAACCAAATTGGCCCCAGGAAGAGGGAGTACCGTGACACAGAGATTTGTTTTGTGGCCTGCTTTCTTAGTGGAAAGAACTTCACTGCTGAGTGTAAAATCTGGCCTTTTTTGTCCGTTTTATATTTGCTCACTCTAAGCTTTTGAAGTTTGACTAATAATCTCAAAGATGATTTTCTTTTATTCCTGCATATTTTTGCAGCCCACCCAGACAGTGATGCCTGGTCAGGTGATGCGGGTAACAACAGGGGCTCCGATACCTTGTGGTGCAGATGCAGTTGTGCAGGTTGAAGATACAGAGCTCATTAGGGAATCAGACGATGTAAGTAAAATTTGAAGATTTTGTTCTGTTCAGACTGTGGGAGTTGTAGAAAAATATCGGGAGATGATTCAAGGATTCTTTGAGTTACAAAAGCTTTTCAGTTGAGGATTAGGATAGATTGTAAATATTGCCATGTTCATTTCATATTGATATTCTTTATGTATGCAGCATGATGTACTTCTAATCATGGTAAGTTCATAGATAGCTGTTAAACTTCTTTTTAGGCACCATGAACAGTGCTTACATTTTAGTAGCCAGTCAAGCTTATGATTCCTTTTTCTTATTGGGAAACATGCATACATGGCCACAAATACATTTTTTTTTTCTACGTGTTATAGTTTGTTCCATTCAGTAAATTCCACAGAATATAAGTTTCAATTTTTTGTGTCCATTTGTTTCATTTTAACGTAACAATATATAACAGCAAAAAGAATGCCGCATGTTAATATCTAACATAGAGATCAATTTCACTGTATTATCTCATTTATTCTCTGGATGTCACTGTCAACTTCTACAATGCAATGTATCTGATTTATTACAGTGAAATCAAAAGCCATAATGTATGACTCAAAATTACAGCTCACTGAGAGTTCCACATGCCGCATTCCAGAATGTCATTGAGTGCTCATCAATAATGCTTTTTGAATAACACAATATGGTGATACTTGTGGCTCCTCGAGTGGAATGTCCCAGATTTCTTTTTTAGCTCATGTTGCAGTTTGTTTTACGCAGGGCACAGAAGAGCTGGAAGTAAGGATTCTGACACAAGCCCGTCCAGGCCAAGACATCAGGTCAGTGTCTGTGTTGCATGACAGTTCCACATTTAGTAAAGGTAGAGCATAATTGTGAAGCACTAACGCTAAATGAGTGGAACGTTCTGTAGCTAAGTAATAAAAGTGTTCGGGTTCTTCATAAGTTGTTCACTGCATGGACAAAGTAAGAAGCAGAGTGGACATAAACTGGCAGTCCGCTAAACAGTTTTCTATATATTCTTTCACTGGGTTTAGGCTTCATTGATAAGGTCAGAATTTGTTGCCCATTCCTGATCACCTTTGAATTGAATGGCTTGCTAGATCATTTAAGAGGATGCTTGAGAGTCAACCACATTACTGTGAGTGTAGGTTCACATATAGGCCAGACCAGGTAAGGAAGGAAAATTCCTTTGCCAAATAACATTAGCAAACCAGGTAGTTTCATAGTCGAAGCTACCAAGACTAGTTTACAATCCAGAATTTTTGCAATTGAATTTAAATTCCACCAGCTGCTATGGCTCCAGGACATTAGCCTGGGCTTCTGGATTACCAGTCTAGTGAGATTGCCACTGTGTTACTGCGATCACCAAACATGTCACAGCACCAATACTATAAGGCCATAAAACCTAAGTAGGAACATAGGAACAGGAGTAGGCCATTCAGCCCCTCAAGCATGTTCCACTATTCAATGGCTGATCTGTGGCCTAACCCTATTTACCTACTTTTGGTACCTGTCCCTTAATACATTTGTTTAACAAAGGTTTATCTATCTCAGCTTTAAAAATAACAACTTATCCAGCACCCATTGCCATTTTGGAAGAGAGTTCCAAACATCTAAAACCTTTGTGTGTCAAAGTGCTCCTAACATCTTTCCTGAACAGTCTGGCCCCAGTTTTAGAATCCCCAACCAGTGAAAATATTTTATCTTTGTTTTCTCTGTCTTTTCCTGTTAATATCTTGAAGACTTTGGTCAGAGCACCACTCAACCTTTGAAATTCTAGGGAAAATGGGCCTAGTTTGTATGATCTCTCCTCTAACGTAACCCCTGAAGTCCAGGTCTCATTCTTGTAAACCCACATTGTGCTCCCTTCAAGGATAATATTATCCTTCATAAGGTGTCGTGCTCAGATCTGTTCACAGTACATCAAGTAGGGCTGAAACAGGATTTTGTATAACTGCAGCATAACTCCTTGTACTCCGGTCCTCTAGATATAAAGACCAGCATTCCATCTTGATCATTGTTTGCACCTGTTTGTGAACAATTGAATCTCTTTGGACATATACTGTATTTAACTTCATACTTTCTAGCAGGTACCCTGATCTAGCCTTTTTTGGTCCAAATTGGATATTGTTGCACTTGCTTAAATTGAACTCCCATCTGTACAGTTCTGCCCATTCACAGCTTGTAATTTTATACTATCATCTACATTGTCTACAATGCCACCCAACTCTGTGTCATTAGCAAATTTGGATATATGACTCTCTGTGTCATTATCCAACTCATTAATAAATAATATGAATAATTGAGGACTTAGCACACATCCTTGTGGGGCACTGCTGGTTATATCCTTCCAAGTTGAGTACCTACTCATTATCTGTACTTTCTGTCACCTGCCACTCAACCAATTTCCCAGCTACGTCAGTAATTTTCCCTCAATTCCATGGGCATTTACCTTAGTTAACAGTATCTTACATGGAACTTTATCAAATGCCTTCTGGAAGTACGAGTAAAGCAGTATCATTAATCAGTAGTTGAATAAAATGTCATCTTCAATTACATCACTTAAAGAGGAATTAACCTACAAAATTTTTTGAGAATACAACAGCGGTTTATTTGCAACATGATATCTGTCATGTCTACATGAGAGCAGTTCACTGCTGCAGTTGTGTTCCTGGAGGATGTCTGGCAAAGGAATGGAATATTGTTTGAAATAAGACAGTACAGGCATTTCAGGGAAGTATGCAGTTAGAATGCCCCATCAGTTGCAGAAAGAAATTCAACCAAGAACATGACAAGGTTTCGAAGATTCAGCTGAACCTTTCAAGAATACTAAATAAAATTACTGTCGTTTTTGTATCAAACAAGAATAGATTTCATTTATTAATGAATTGAGTTGTCTCAGACATTTGACAAACCGACACTTGGAACATGCACACCAATCTTAAGGAGAAGTAGCCAAAGTCTCAATCAATTTGAGGTAATTAAACTCACTCACTGTCTTGCCTAGCATCACCGTATTAAAAAAGCTCACTTGCAATCTAATTGTTTAGTGCATGCACTTACTATCACACCTTAGCATATTGAAAATTGTATTGACTATTTTGTTCCTTTATTAGAACTCTTATGGCACCAGTGGTTATGTCCCTGCCTCTGAGCCACAAGACATGAGTTCATGTCACATCTTCAGTGTGTCATAATATATCTGAACGGATTTATTTTAAAAATATGGAAATAGTATTTTATTCTATACAAGGGTTCTTATGGCACATTTTAGTGTCCCAACCTCTCGACCAGGAGACGTGGGTTCAAGTCCCACCTATTCCAGAGGCACATAATAACATTTGTGAACAAGTTGATTAGAAAATAACTGCATTTTGATCCTTACAATGGAACTTGTGGTGTGGCGGTTCTGTCCCTGTTCTGAGCCAAGAGGCCAGGGTTCAAGTCCTGCCCGCTCCGGAGATGTGTTATTACATTTCTGAACAGGTTAATTAGGTAATATTTGTTCTGTTCATTGAGGTTACCATGCACACAAGAATCAGCAGAGAGAATCTGCTAAAAGGCGATTATAAAGAATCCATGTTTTACAGCTTTGGTAATTGTAATTCTAAATTACTGTAGCTGAATATATAGTTATTTCAGTAACAAGAACTGCACAGCACCCATCATGGGTTGTTTGCTGTTAATGTCATTATTCTTCAAGGAGATAGCTTTTGATAGAGAGAAATGGCAAAAAAGTGGAAATAGGTCAGGTGCCAATCTGGGTTTAGAAGGATATCTTGCTTATCTTTGATTTCATCCTATTTGCCCGTGTCAACTGCCTGCAATTTCATGAAGCTCACACATGAGTGCTGCAGAAAGTGATGTTACTTTGCAACCCATTCAAACTTCTCTTTCTTTTTTCCTTCTCTTCATGTGATGGAAGAAGTGGAGCCAGACACTATTAGATCTGGTCCTTCTATACCTTCAGACCACTTGCTGTAGTCTTTGATGGCTAAATTAAATTTACCCACCCATTAAGGATTGGGGTTTGGGGCAGGGGTTGCTGAGAGGCACTTCACAAGGCACAAGAATGCAACAAGAAAAATTGTTAACTGAAAAATCAGATATGTTTCCTGTGGATGAAGAGTCAAGGGATCCAGATTAAAAAGGACATGCAGATGAAGAAGCATGCTTGGAGAGCATTATTCTGGAGATTCATCATGCTGCATTTGGAACTTCGCATTCAGTCACCTCTTGCATTCTAGCTGTTCAGTTTGGAGCCAGAGGAGCATAAGGCTGGACTTCAGAGCTTGTACCTCATACCCAAACACTGAAAAGAAAGATTTGCATTTATGGAGGGGATTTAATGACCAGAGAATGTCTCAAAGTGTTTTACACTCAATGTACTCCTTCCTGAAGTGTAAACATCTTTGTAATGTTGAAAACATCGCAATTAGTTAAGACACAGCAAGTTCCCACAACCGCAAGGTGACTGTGGTAGTGTTGATTGAGGAATAAATATTATCCAAGGGAACTATAAGAAAGCATTAATTCAGAAGTACTCTGAATTTATGGATAGATCAAATTTTCTGTCTTTGCATTATTCCTGGAAATTTTACAAGTCTAGGACATCAAACAGAGACACAATGGCTTAGTGATATTATCACTAACTTTTAATCCAGAAGCCTAAGTAATGTCCTGTATTCACATCTCACCATGGCAGATGCTGAAATTTGAATTCAATAAAAATCTGGAATTAATAGTCTCTTGATGTTCATGAAACCATTACTGATTGTCTGTCTGAAAAACCCATCTAACTCACAAACACTTTAGGGAAGGAATCTGTCGTCCTTACCTGGTATGGCCTACATGTGACTCCAGACCCGCAGCAATGTGATTGACTCTTAACTTGCCCACTGGGCAATTCAGGATGGCAATAAGCCAGTGACCCCACTTCCTGCAAATGATTTTTTTAAAAAAGTGGCCTGAATGAGTCTTGTACTTAATGCATCCAGAGTAGTAGTCGTAGGTGACTATCAGTGGGAAGGTGGAAGATGTAGCCAAGAATGTTAATGTAGGCTAGAATGACATCAAGGGGTCTGCTTTTTGTGACACAACTGTGCCTTCTGGCTCACAGAGTACTTTTTAGGCCATGTTTGCTGCTGTTCCTCTTCACGTCAGTGCATAATTTAAGCTGTAAATTTCTTGCAATATTCATGCACATAGCCGTTAGGCATATCCCATTCAGTCCCCAGAATACACAAGTCAAAAATTAAATTCAACAAACAAACAGTGGGTGCGAGAGGAATTATCAGCATAAGTATTTTGGGATTTGGACTTTTATCAGAGACTTGCATAGCATGCTGTTCTGTTCACTCAACATTCTAATATCAGTAATGCATTTTAGTTAATAAGATAACCAAAAATTAGCTGCATAATAAATGAAGTTTGATGATCAAATGAACTCAAAAGAAGCATTCTAATTTTTCTCAATTCTCTAAAGTAATGTTTGTGATGCACCAAAGGTGTCTTTTGCTGTAATTTCTACCAGATATACTAAATGGAGTTGTAGTGCAGATCTCTTGATTGATGTTCTTGGCAGTTGAGGTTAAGCACATCGGACATGATTATTCTCTACTCAATAACTGACCTCTTGAAAATTAAGCCTTTTAATTATAGTAGTAGTTTATAGAACAGAGATGGCTTGGGTTCCTTGTTATGAAATGTAAATAGGATGTCAGTCATCTGCTGGATTAGTGGCTTGACCTAATTGTAATGCAGAGGCTATACAATGCAAGCAGAAAACTTTATATGAATCTGGATTGCACATAAATCA